TATTGTATAAGACGGTTTTTTTTATAAAATATACTATTTAGATCATTGCCTTCATCCTATTGTTTAAGATCAGCGTAGTGCGTTTTCTTCTTTCGTTGTTTCCTAACAGTTATTATATCTACTCGCATTTCACATGCTTAAGCCATAAGCCACGTTGAAATAGAACACTTTCAATTTACTATAAACTTCTTTATTATAAAATAAATACAAATAAGGCTTGTGATAAATTAGTACATAAAAGGAACACAATTCATCAACTGAGTACGATCAATCAACCTCAACTGTGGCGTAAAGAAAACGTACTTGAAACAACGACCTGTTGCAGGGCTGCGGTCCCGACTGCCCATCGTCTAATTGTATTCAGATTACCCCGGAAAAGTGATAAATCTCGACGAGTCAAGGTCGGCGGAGGGTTCGACAGCCCATTCACCCCGTTCCTGTCTGCCCCCTCGGCTAATGGTGCGGACATTCTTTCCCCGACCTTGCTCAGACTTGCTAGTCTTGTATTGTACTATGTATATATATGTATATGCATTCAAGACTACGTCCCCACCCTACAGGTTATGTACTATAGTATCACACAATTGTACACTCATCTGAAACGAACTCCAATATTGTTTGTATCCACATATCTCCAATATAGATGTTACTTACACACATATTCGAAAAAACTGACCATATCTAACATCTCAAATGACTTCATAAAGATTTAAGTTGAATCTACAGACCTGTAAATCACAAATCATTATTTTTGTACGACGCTCAATAATGTAAGCTATATTTTTTCTATATCAGCTATTATTTGCCTTCCTTTTTTAGATTTATAGTCTGTACTGATCATAAAGTTATCTAAAAAGAAATAATGCTTTACGTTTTTCACATGAAATCTTTATATGAATAAAGATTTTAAAGGAAGAATGCAATTTTTCTTTAACAGTATTGCAGATTTTCAAAAATGTGCTCTCATATTGCTTTCTAATATTCCGTAGGTTTAATGTTACATCCTCTATAATGAATGCATTTTATTGAAATTATAAATGTGCGTTTGATAGTTGTTCAATAGATTAATTATTAGAATCTGTTCTAAACACATGAGTCATGTTTATCTTGATTTAGTATGCTTAAACTTACATCACGTGATCTAAACAACCATGTAAATAATCACAAGATCACCTAATTGTTATCTGCTCTGTATATGGAACGACTTCGCAAGAGGAGACTAGCTCTCCACTGAGAGAATTTAGTTCAAGTTACTCAGCGAGTTGAAGTTTCAGCCAGTAGACAAAAAAAACACTTCTACTTACAATGTTGTGTCAGCATTTCTAACAACATACTTCTACACACAATTTTTGATTAAAATAATAGCCTCATCACTCTCTTACCTCAATAAAGAACTTCATCATCATCAAGTCATCATTACACAAAAAAATGTGGTAATTGTGTGTATAATGAGACCTCCGGATTTATCATCGCACTTATGTATACACTACAAATAATAGTGTGTGTTTCATTTTTACCTTAGTATTTTAAATCTTGTAAATTATTTCGGGATCGCAAACTTAGCAACATTATTAGCGTCTCTGCCATCAGAGTAAATGGGTCGCCAAACACGGCCGTCTTCGTGACGCCACCGTTTTGTCTCAACTAGGCCGCTCTTGTTAACGCCATTGTCTGTGCGCTGTTTATACTCTATGGTTAGATCATTCGTGGTAATGTTTTTGGTTGTATAAATAGGGCTGTGTCATGTTATCAGCCTTCGTCTTTTATGATTGTATCAAATCTAAAAAATTGGGGCTATAGATGTTTGGTTCTTTAAATATTTATTAGTTTCTTATGCAGGCTTTCGTTACCAAAGGATTTCTTGTAATTCCTATCGGAATAAAGTGTATTTAAATCATGCTGACCATCCGTGGTAGACTGTTAGGTATTATATTGAAGCTAAGTTACATGTATACCAGCAGCTCTACTAGTTGGAATCCAATAATGACACCGGTTGGGTGCTCGGCGTCAGCGCAGTAACGACGGCGTGGGTAGTGTTCGTGACTCTGGGTTTTGCCAATACAAACAATTTTAATACGATAGTTCTTAACCTATTTAAATATTACTTATGTAAGTTTACTTGATATTATCAATACTTCCTCTTATGGTTTGTAATTGCGAAACAATAAACAAATAATCACATCGAGAAGGTCTATGAATTATAATTAAGGCATAGATTGAGGTATATTGAATATTATGAAAAAAAGTCTTTTTGTCTAATACAAAAAAAACTATAGAAATTTCCAATGCTCTGACTTAGACTAAAGTTGTATTCATCAGGCTCCTGCTTGAGTTCTTGGCCTTCAGCCGCCTATAAACTGTAAACCGTGGCTCGTTGCCGGTTATCAATTGAGTACATACTCTGCGGTGCGGGCTTGGTTGCGGTGTAGGCGTACAGTCGCATGCGTGGAATGTGTTTGACTTGTTACGGGCCTTACGCGGTTACCCGCAGATAGCTTCAGGACCGTTGCAATGTGTAGTTTATAACATACAGACTGAGCGGATTTAGTTAAATCATGTAAATATATGATATGCGAAATTGAAATGTACAAAAAGTTTATGATTCGTTAAGCTTCCGGACAAAGGCGTTGCAGACTAGTGTATGGATAATACTGTAAAAATGTATTTTAGAGATTTTTTATATTATATTAATATTTTAAATTTATATTTATTTAAAGTTGTATATAATCTATTACACACGTCTCTGTTTAAATTGTGCATGGTACAATAATACACTCATTTATAACATTGAATGCGTAATGGTAAATAAATTTATTCTCATATTAATAATAATACTTGTACGATAACAAAGTTACATTTTAAAGTAATATTTGAGCGGCTGTAACACATAGAATAAAAGTTGTTTTATGTATGTTTCATACAGCTATTGTCTCATGAAGTAACAACTTCCTAGAATAAATATTTAGTAGCTTAGTAGTAGTCCTATCCTTAGTTAGTCCTTCCAATGGCTTAGTGTATGATTTAATATTTATTATCGTTATGAATATTGGAAATGAGAAAGAGATTATTTTCTCTGTCCGCTTTGGAGTATTTCATGTCCGTTATGCACTTCTAAACAGTCTGATGAAAATTGGCAGATATGTATTTGTAGTTTAAAGTCTAATAACTATAGACGTCAATGAAAGTTTATTGGGAAATAGTTTTTGATAAATATAAAGGTTTCTGAAATCACTTCTAGACTAATTAAGAAACAAACTTTTCTAATTTCTCGGATTTAGCTTCTTATTCCAGGTAATCCTAAATATTAATTGTTCGATGTTTTCACAATCATGGTATTTCAGTTTAAATACCCACTAATTAGCGTTATTTAGCGGTTGTGATTTCAATGTATAGGTAGGTATATAATATTTTTATTCCATAAATATATGTAGTCTATTTATCTGTCGACATCCAACAAGAACATATGAATAATAGGAATTAATGCATTAACACTAAGATATGATTTTTTGTTATATATTGAGTAGATAGAATAGTTTTATGTGACTGTAGATTTTGATGCGACGAAAGCATATTCTTCCTTATTAATTGAAACTTTTTTATTTTAGAAATTTATATTTATTAAAAACTAAATTGAGCATAATAAACCCTTTTATATTAAGTACAAGAATACATTGCATAAGTTAGCATTCAAATGTTGATGTGGGAAAGTAAAGACCTCGGTTTGGAGGTACACAAGAGCTTGGCGGTGACGGGCACTGCCCTTGAACGAGCTGGTTCTGCGCCATGACCAGAATCGCATGCCGACTGCCGCAGACTCGCCGTTGCCTAACAACGAGCAATTACGATATCTTTATAATAAAGCCTGATAGTGATATGTAGGCATTGATAACGAGCAAACGAATAAGTTAATATAAAATGAAGCTTTGTTGTGTAATTAAGCAAATCGCATGTTCGGTCACGTCGCTTTGTTGTGTTTAGAATTTCGTTATTGTTCAATGAAAACCTGCCGCTAAGTAATTTCTGACTGGCCAATAAAGCTTATGTAATTCTAAATAATCGATTTACTGGGAATGCGGTCAAGTGCAAGTCTATCTTATATCAATTTAACACCGAATAGGCGTGCTATTTTTATGAGCGGTGGTTGATTGCCGGCCGGCGAGACGCGACCCCATTACCGTTGCTCTACACTCATTAAAGGTCGCCGTAAACAAATAGTTGTGTATAGGTGGGCGCGTATGGTATATGCTCTGTTATCTATGATTCACCGGCGCCCCGCTGTCTGTCGACAGTCTGATCGCACCGACACAATATAATGGCCCGATAATAGGCAACTGATGAGATTAAAACGACGACCCTCCCACTTTACGATTTTTATTTACTTAGGAGGCATTAAAATTTTACGCTCACTGAATTCGATGAACGTTACGACAAATATTAACTGCTGATGTCCTCCATAAAGAGGTGCGTTATTAGACAACATTACTAATATGCACTTGATCTCACATAACTATAACCGAGCCCAAATCGACCCACATAAAAGTTGCAATACCACTTTCGACGTCGCAAATCACAGACAGCTATATCTCGGCCTCGGTCAATGCGTTGCGTGCATGTCGTATGCACATATACGGATGCAATAAAGTGCAGCGAGAATTCGCAGGCTAGCGGTGCATGCCGCTCACGTGCCTCTAGAAAACGAGAGTGATCGGGTACGTCTCTCCTCCCCCTGCTCACGTTTGATGCAAGCCTAAGGTTATTTGTTCTACATTCTATCTGCAGATTTGTATTGTTTAGTATAAGAAATGTTGCAACTACAACGACAACGACATCAATCAAGTATATCTAAATTTCAATTCATACTTTATACTAAGGAAATATAAAAAGAAATAAGATAATAACAGCATAATTTGTCTCCTGTAAAATGCTTTCAAAGACGTGAATGTATTTATGATATCAGTTTCATATTATGTGTTAATGTTAAATGTGTATGTTGTTTACAGGTACACAGAACGTAACGATGCCGCCGCGAACATCGTCATCGCTGTCAGACGGCAGCGGAGGCGCACCGCGGGGCGCAGCACCGGGCCCCGCGCCCGGGCCAGTGCCGCCCGGTGCCAGCGCCATGGTGGCTCAGCCCTATGGGCATCACACGCCGTACAAAGCGTCTCCATATGCGCCGCAGTCCTACGGCTACCCACCTAGGAACCATCATCCTTACCAGTACGCAGGATACCGCCCTCCGCCGCCACATCCACCGCAGCACTATCCGCCACTCAAGGTATACTTCTTTAGGTCTAATCTTTGGTTTGTATTTCAAAATAGCCTTGTCTCTGTGTGTATATATATTAGTCCGTATAGCAATAACAAAAAATGGCAAACTAGGATTCACCATCGTATCTTTTTACACTCATTGCTGTCCATCAGATCGTAGCTGCAGGTAGCTCTGGTGTCTAATTTCAATATTGTTAGCAAACTCAATAATTTTTACTCGGTCCTTATCAGAATAATCCGAATGAATCCATAACAAAGCCAGGTAGCCCTTTGAATGACCACGTAATATAAAATTTACACGTCTCTAGTGTACACGAACTCGGAGAGCATAAATTTTTGCAGTCCAATATCATTGGATCGGCCGTCACGAGTCGTTTAAATATGAAGCATATGAATATATTGCAATGAATGTTTGTAGCAGCAGGGACGGCACATGGGCCCGCCGGGCGGAGTGGGCGGCGCGGGCGGGGAGGGCGTGATGCCGCCGCCGACGGCGCCGGGCGAGCCGCACGACAACGGGCCCGCCGCGCCCGCCACCGCGCTCGTCACCACCGGGCCCGACGGCGCGCCGCTCGACGAGGGCAGCCAGCAGAGCACGCTCAGCAACGCCTCCGCAGGTGAGACTCAACTTCTCTTCTATTGGAGCGTAGTTCTTTTCTATCGAACGAGCGTTCTCTTCTGTCGGACGAGATATTTATATTATAAAAATTACTAAATACAATGGTGTGACGAGTGCGCCCCTCGTTGAGGCCAGCCACGTTCAGCAACGCCTCCGCAGGTGAGACTAAACTTCTCTTCTATCGATACGGATCAGACAAGCGTCCGGTAAAGCAGAGAGCGCGGTAAAGCAGAGAGCGCTGTTGCAGTAGTCGACCGTTCTATACAGTTAGTTACCATTTCAAAATTTTGCAGCCCAGTTTTAGCAGAATACAGCACCAAGAAGGTTGTACATATTAAGGTTTCTTAAGGGTCGGCACGCGCAATTGACACCTCTGGTATTTTGTAGGCTTGTTTATCAACATCATGGTATAAAACAACTTTCAATGTTATCACATCTTATGAAACAAACTGTTGCTTGTATTAGTATCTTTAAAAAAAAAAGAATAAATTTTTCCTTTTTGTACTTTCTGTTAAGTCTTCTGTATTCATTAAGGACTATTTAATTAATTTACTACTTTTACTTTGTATTACCAAATGTAACAACAAATCACCAATATCAATATGTTGTTGGTTGCTCTATTAAATAAATAAAAATTTCACCTAAATTCTTTATTGTATCTTTGGCACCAAAGCATGCAGAGCAATTATTGCTCTTAACATTGCCCATGTAAGAACGATTTAGTTTTTATTTTCACACGCGATTATTATAATTAACTGTTCTACATGTAATAGTCGCCTGGATCTAACATTAATTAATTTTCTCTATATGGTCTCCAAACTCTTTATATTCATACTATAGACAAAATTACAGGTATATTTTTTGCCTAATTACCCTCCTGGCACTACAATAATACATTTAATTCTATTTACCTATATAATTAAAACTACATCTATTTTATTTTAAATTCATCTAATAAAGTCTATTTATTGTATTTTGCTGAACATTTCTAAAAATAGAAATGTCGATCAGATCTCTATCTAGTCGACTTATTTTCCTATAAGTACACGAGATAAAACTAATTATGTACCTCGGTAAACTTGTTACCTACGAAGAAAGTACACACTACTGAAATTCGTATGCTTTGTTGGGAAATGGAGTTACACTTTAGCATAAATTCTGAAACGAGCATGTTAAATGACGATGACTTACGAGCGTAATGATTAGGAAGGCCAACCCTGGATAACTGCAAGATGTGAAGATGATTAAGAAGAAGTAGTTTACTTATTGTTTCTCGTATTGTAATGTTTTGAAAGATCCTTTAGGTAACGTTGTATGGTTGTTGTTTCCAGCGTCTGGCGAGGAGGCGTGCGGGACTGCGAAGGCGGCGCGCAAGGATTACGGCGCGGGCAGCGCAGCGCCGTCGCCCTCGCCCGGCGCCGGCTCGCACTCTTCGCTGCACGATGACTACGACGCATCGCCCTCATGGCCGCGCCCGCCGCCCAGCCCGGTCAGTTTATCCACATTCCACCATCCCTCCGTCTCTTCCTCTGCCCGGTCAGTCCATGCACTTACCTCCATTTCTCCGTCTTTCCATTTATTCATCTCTCCCTCCGCCCGACCGTCAGAGCAGGAAGAACACAAGTGTGCACTACTTACATTCAAAGTGAAGCAGATCTTTGTATATAGATAATTTTGTGGGTCTAAGTGGGTAAAGATTATATTATAATTTTTGCAATTGTTTGTCGACTGTAGGACGAACGTTGAAGTGTGATGGAACCTATTATTGAGTATAGAATAATTAGAAGAGTAATTTAAAGTTATTTGAATTAATTTTTTTGCCACTAATTTGCGCGTAGTTTTTTTTTCGAAAAATTTTAGATCCAATCTATAGTCTTGTCAAAATAGATACCTAAAATGTATTTATTTTAAGTTAATATGATTTTATTGCTACACTTTTATTGTACGTAGTGTTAACTCTTGACATTTTTCTTGCTATTGAATAGATAGTTGATATTCAAGTACTTAGAATCTGACTACTTATACTTACATCACACGGCATAATGCTCTAAGATTCCTGTCTGATTGCTATACCTGTATAACTTTATAAAACACATCTCTAAGCGAATCTTCTATTATTATTGTTATGTTTTTGGGGTACTTATTAACGCGTTTCGTTTCTTACAAGTACAAAGGATGCCTTCTGCATAGGAATAAATTTTCGTCCATCATTATAGAATATATGGGATTGCATGTTATAATACATATTCATAATTTTGTTGTCTCCGTTCGAAGTATGTACAGACCTTGTATATAGAGGGTGTGGATTCATCTACTAGATCGTGTGCATTGAGTTGGATTTAAATTAAACGAGATATTCCTAGTTCTTTCCCTTCTCCAATTTCGTTCAATTTAAGCGTGCTAAATGATATCAAGCACACTCGAATAATTTTGTACATTATTTTTACATTAATCCTTTACCCTTGTACTACTAGAATCCAAATTGGCTTTGAGAACAAACCGACTTCTTAAAGCCAATTTGGATTTAAATTTCACAATTCGAACATTTAAAATGTTCGAATTGTGAAAATGAATATAAGAAGTCTTTTTACCGCCTTTTATTACTTTTCTAATAGGCATACTAACGATATGCAATATTTACTTAATATTGAAATTAGATCCAGAATTAAAAATATTATGATAAATATTATAAGTAATACTTAATCCTGCTCTTGTTTTAGTCTGTTGTCTGTAACATTTTCAAGATTAGTCTAAAGAATAAGCATGCGATTAGAAGAAATGACCTATGTCTTTTTCTTTTAATTTAAATCCACCAATGCAATGTTACCATAAAGTATATTTGGAACCACATAGAAGTACTCCTCGTCCCTTGTTTGTTCAGGCCTACAAAATGCTTCACATCTATAACTATAGATATAAATTCAATGTATTGATTGTTATTATCAGCACCGATCAGTCGGGTCATGGTCGGTCGCAGACAGCAAGGGTCATGGCTTATTGTTCGCAACATAAATGTGTTAAACAAAGCTTATTTTTTAATGTCATCACTGTATAGACTTATATATTCACAATAACTACATTATACGTGTACTCAGCAATTTGCATTTGATCAATATTTTTTCGTATCTGTCATACATTAGGTATCAAAAGAAAAAAGGTTTATATTATAACTACCGGTTTTCGTTTTTTTTGCATATATTTGGCAATATATATATAGAAATAACAAAATTCTACGCTACAGAGAGTTGTAAAGTTATATTTTGTAGAGACGTTTGCATGTATTTTTTAATTTGTAGAAAATAAGAATTAACGCCATTTAATTTAAATTTCTAACAACACTATATGTGGGAACTGATAGTGTTTGACAGATACTACTATTATCAGTAATAAAATGCAAAATGATGAGTAATTCATTTGTAATACACGTTTGTAATCGTCTAGTGATACCTAATGTTGGTTTACATCTCTCCTTTACACTTGTATGTATTTGTAATTGTGCTAGAGTGAGAGGGAAGCATTGCAATGTTATCATGTATTTCAGGTATTTAACAGTCACATACCGCCGGAGTCCTACAGATCAAAGGTTTATATCAAGTTCAAAATCATTAAGCATGTGTAGCGCTCAATTCGATTAATTTTCACATAATAAACTTTTTGATATTGCATGGATGTCATCTTCCTTCTGCGTTCAATGATATGTGATTGATTTGTTTTTAGTATATTTGCATACATTGTAGTTTATATCTTAGGAAATTGACTACACAAAACATCTTGTCATTACTGATTCCGTTAGCTTGAGAGTGCTTGAAGTAAAAAAGTATTATGAATATTTTACGCTGTCTGCTATACTTTTTCTTTCTGGTGTTGGCCTATGCTTTGAGTTTAATTAGAACATAAATTTTATATTCTATTGGATAATAATATTAATCTAGTAGTAAAGATACTGTACAATTAGTAGATTTGAATGACTTATATAACTTTTTTATAATTGTAGGGATATTTATTTATTTTTTAAAAAATACGTTGAATTATAATGTCGGTATATATAATATCTGTTCTACTTTAATATGTAATCAACCCATGAAGTGTTAGCCCCGATAAAGGACAATACTGATAATATCTTTTTTAGTTAGTGAACTTTCACAATTTTTTATTGCTTATCTAGCAATAAAAAATTGTCTGCGAAATGTAGTGATATTTAAATTAAATTTATGGGTATGGCTGGTGGTGATATTTGCCGAGGATCCACTGTTAAATGGTATTGATAGATACATAAAAAAACTCTGCTTATTACCAAATTACTTAGTTTCTTTATTATGCAAAAGTTCTACAGAAAACACAGACAGACTGATTTGTCATCTGTCAGTTGAGTCAGTAAAAACAATCACACTAAAATTAAACAAACGAAAGTACGTAGATAATCCGGCAGCCGCAATTTACTATAAGTAAATTATATTTACTATTGTAACACTACTATTCTAATATAATCATTAATATTAAGTAACTATTATTATTGTTTCAAAACTTAGTATTATTTTAGTACATACTAACATAGCCAGTATTATTCCTTTATCCATTTTTCAACGAAGGAAAATGACACTTGGTTTATAGTATTTCTAAAATCTTCAACATATGCTTGATTTATTACTCGTTTATTTGTACACAAACGCCTGCATCATAAAGTGACATATGTATTTACAGTTATTATATCATATTGCTAGACAGCATAAAAAGCATGCTACTGTAATATTTGTTGCTGTGTCGCTATGATATACTTGACCAGATCTGAAGAGCTTTAATCCGATAGAGCACCATTTGTTGACAAATTAATACACAAACAATACTATTAATACATAAACAAAACAATACAAGATACACGCATATACAGATTGTAATCCTTTACAGGGTAGGTAGAGTAAGTCGGTGATTCTTCTTTATATCTTACTTTGTCCACTTTGTTAGTGCAAAATAAAACCACTTAATAGGCTTCTCAGGTATTTAAGTGTAAATATGGAAACATTTAACTGCAGTAGTAATGCTGTTTCTATTAATTTTTAAGCGAAAGTAGAGACATTTTATATATCATAAAAATTAAGATTCACATAAAAGGAATGTGCGAAAATCATTCTTATAATATATGTATTTGCGTTATTCTATTCTTTGTTTGTGTATACAGATAATTTGAAAATGAGTTGCCAAATCGTGTATGTATTTAATTACTATTTTATAAAATTTACGTGATTTTCATAGAGCTTGGTACTAATATACCGTTCATCACAAATATCATGCTCACACACACGTTCACGTATTATTGTAGTTTCAAATGGTGCTTCTATTTATTCCTCCAATGATCCTATTAACAGTACAGTAAGTAGAAAAAGTATGGCATGTACTTATAGTTTTCTTATAGATAGAGTATTATGCGGCAGCTGTATCTATGGTTATATTATATACTTAATTATAGTCACGTTGCCGATACCGCTGCGCTATATATTCGTATTTGTGATTTATTTAAATACATATATGAGAGACAATATGACAAATGATATTAGGAGACTGAAGAACCTGGGGGACAGATTTGGCTATATCATAATATCTACAGAGCAGAAGTTTTAAAAATTAAATAACAGAAATAAAAATTGTCCAATAGCTATCGTGTCTCATATGTACTTTAATATATTACAATGTGGCAATGTGGTGCCTTAACTATAATATAAATTGTTATCATTACCACTCTATATATATAATGCGGATGTATGATGAAGTGTGTCTGTGCCAGAAGTCGGACTCGCTGGGCAAGTTGTACGAGATGGACGACGCACCGGAGCGGCGCGGCTGGGTCGAGCGGCTACTCTCTTTCATGGAGGAGAAGCGGACACCTATCGCATCCTGCCCAACCATTTCCAAACAGCCGCTAGATCTATACAGGCTGTATTTGCTTGTGCGCGAAAGAGGAGGATTTGTCGAGGTACGTGCTAATGTTATTAAAATTGTCAAGTTATATGTAAACGCTTGTGATCGTTTGGATTATGGTATGGAGATTTGTTTTGACTTCTCCATGAACTTTTCAAATCGAAACCGTGTTGTAGCAGGTAATATTGATATTAAATAAGGTTTTCCATATAACATAATCAAGAAAATTTAGTATAGTTAAAAATAATAATAAGGTAGGGTAATTCACACTGCGCCATCTAGCTACTTATTATCAATCAGAAACCAACAAGCTAGACCATCTATGGCGTCTAAACTAAAGAAGAACTCTTTGAAATAAGTAAATGTGTTTTGTGCATATAGAAGATGTTTACGTACTTTTCGTTGCTGTACTTACTTTTTCCTTTATTCCTAACTCTTTATTTACTTTTTTCTAATGACATGATCGCTTTCATTGCAGCATTAAATATGCCATTCAGAATCATTGTAGTAACTTGCGATTTATTATAATGTCAGAAATAAATACACGATTCAGCCATAATCCCATTCGAAACTACCAATAAATTCTTACTAGTATAGTGTCATTTATGCTTCATATTAAATGTAATAATCGAACAAAATTGGATAATTCTAGAAATCATATAACTGTGCTCATCATCAGTTCTTTCAATCAAAATCTTTAGACCATTATCAGTTTATGTAGGTATTCTACATACTTATTTGCACATCGCAAAACGCACAAAATATAATACATATTGAAATGTTATAAATATAGGACACTTGGATATTATGCAAACTATCTTGTACATATTTATGTAGTGTTTATCATAATATAGTAGTAGGCTTGATATTCCTGTCCTATCTGTTGCGATTATCACAAAACATGCCCGTCTCTACGCTATTCTAGTGTATTCCCATTATACTAAAAATGTAAATCGCAGGCATTTATACTACAAATTGGATTCGAATCGTATATTATTGAGCATACTAAAAGTTTTACATTTAAATAAATGATCAACGGTGTCTGTAATTCAATTTAGCTTTACAGTTTTAAACGTAAACATTAATAAACATTCGTATACTTGGGTATCACTCTAGCGATACCAGTAAAACTCGTGCGCATCGTTCTCTGCGAGTGCGACTAATAGACTTCGGTTAGGATTTATGTTAGTGCATGTACCGCGGGCTTTATGTGTATAGTCGCCATAAAACCGCCGGGGCTTTAACGATAGTTAATAAATTTTTATCATTGGAGCGTTCGCAAAGGACGGTCTTGAACATTGTTGTGTGGATTAGAGAGGCGCGGGGCGAGCTCGGCATCGGACGCGTCTCACTCTCTACAGGCAAATATAAGATAATCCGCGCCATGGTGAGGTTTCCACTCGTTAACATACAGGAGTTATCGCGTTTTCAAACGTACACAGTAAACCTTGGCAGTTTATGTCCTCGCGTTAACTGTCGCCTCGTGTTCACTTGTTTGCTAAAAGCTGTGTTAAATATTATATTATTGTTCACTGTCTACTCAACTCGTTATGTCAAAATAATATGTTATATTCATAAATTGATATATAACTCGCATATCTTATGCTTTGATATGTATGTATGTTTACCCATAGTTGGGAATTAAACTGCAGCTAAAATTTTTTTATATATTTTAGGTGACGAAAAATAAGACTTGGAAAGACATAGCTGGGCTGCTGGGCATCGGCGCGTCTTCGTCGGCGGCGTATACTCTACGCAAGCATTATACGAAGAATTTACTTGCTTATGAGTGCCATTTTGATCGCGGTGGCATTGATCCCCAGCCAATTATACACCAAGTAGAAGCTTCCACTAAGAAGAAAAGTGGCAAGTCCAATAGCAATTCCAGTGCAGGTCAGTGTATATTTATTATTTTAATGTATGTATAAGCATTGTTACTTGCATAAATGATTCTATTTATTTCAAATATACATTATTTTTTATTAATTATGAAAATCTGTTGGAAATTTCGCATTCCAACCGAACTAGAATTATTAAATTTTAGTTATAATTTTAGAATACGTAATAGTATACTGGATGGGGCAAGGGCAACAGGTCTGGAGACGAAAATGTGTTGTCAACGAATGGGAATATACATAAAACAATTTTTTTTTCTATGTATGTTACTAAATGTTTTCAACAAGTTAGAATACATTTTAAACATTTTTATACAATTAATGTTATACTGGTTGATTATGTACTATATATATTCTTGTTGTCACAACAAAGTATAACTTATGTATGTATGGACGTAGGGTCGTCAAATTCACAAGAGACATTCCCCGGCGGCGTGGGGGGCGCGGCCGGCGCCGGCGGCGGAGCTCCCCTGGACGGGTACGGCGCGCAGTACGCCGGGTACCCGCCGCAGCCCAACCAGGCGCAAGGTTTGTGTACACCACTACACACCGCGCACTGCACACCACACGACATCACACGCATCTCTTTTTATGATCGAATGGTGCACCCGCCTGGGCTAACGGTATACGCTGGCGGGGCACTAGTGGAGTATGGATAAGATGAGTATGAGGTCAGTTCAGGTAGCCCATTGTAATTGGTAATTTCACTAGCAATTTAACATGATAGTTACCAGGGGAACTGCGTGGAGGTCAACCTAACGTGGTACAATGCTAACAATGAGACACGCATTTTGAGCCGTAGCACACACACTTCGCGAGGTCCACAGTCTATCATTTTGACCATATTATCAAACTATTAGTAGTAGGCTAAGCAGAGTGATCACTAATCGTTTATACTGACTCCGCATAAGTTTAATTTCATCAATCGTTATCATAGTTATACATTCATTTGTCACATGTACATGTGAGCAGAACGTGTCTTTCTCATCCTTAGCGCTATATTAGTTTGCCTTTGTCTAAGGTGGCAGTTTTCATAACTTTACCCTCAGCTTGTTTCGAAATAGCGTGTTTTAATTATTGTTATTGGACGGTTTAGTACCATACATTTAGTATACATCAAACATGGAAATTCAGTTAAAGCACCTCAATCAGCTACTACCAATACTGTATGGTGTGTCCTATGGCTCTAAAAGAATTATCGCTATAAATATGTCGATAATTGTTAGTCATAGATAAAAAATATTATAGCGGCACTCTTAACGTCTGATATTATTTATAAGAAAACTTAATTAATATATTACATAATGTATAGTTTAGTACTCATAAAGTACTTAATAGAGTCTTAAGTAGTATCTGCACAATGCAGATAGCACGGGATGCATTAGTATAATGCTGTAAATGAGCTAGTTAAGTTAGTCTTCGGCTATGCAACGTAACAGGAGCCTTTTAATCGGAGATCAAAGGAAAGTAATATGCATAAATTTATTTATTGACTTACAGTTCTCATGTCTTGTAGACTAATTCAATGTGTCTTAAGAATCTTTAATGAGTACTAGTTATTTAGTTAGTGTGATTTCATCAGTATCATCATGGGACATCAATATTACCGTTCTTAAGCTTGCGGGTTGTCTTCCAAATTTCATTCAAATATGCAATCTTTAGGCAATCAAGTACATGAAATACTACTTATTCATATTTAATACTAGTAATAATTATAAATTTGTAGAATATTGTAATTTAAACTAAAAGCTGTATAATTAATATTGATTTGCTATTGAGTACTTTTAAGGCTCCTGTATCGTTGACACTAGATAGAATAGATCATAAAACCCTGCGTGTGATATGAAAACGTTGAGATTTAGAAATGGCAATGATGTAACTTTTGTTAAGATTTTTCTTATTATTGTCTTCATATTTTAGAATAAATGTACTTGGTATATCACTCTCAGGGACCTGCTCTATTCGATCAGTCTTTATATCATCTATGATTACGTACATGACGTGTGGTCAGCTTGTTTTATATATTTTTTCAGTCTCAAACTAACTATCTAACTTCCGAATGAAAACTGCTAGTAAATCGTTCGGATAATGATACCCTGCTTCTCACTTACTAACAATCACCATTTTGAAAGGCAGGCACTGAATTTTATTTGCAACCAATTTCGAAAGCGACTAATGATTGTTTAGCTGCGATTTTTTACCTATATTTTCGAATACATCTGGCAGCAATGCAGAAAAAAAATGTTTCGAAGTGTTAATTCTATTTAATCGAAAAGTAAAACATACTGTGTGGTATACTCATATTTTATTTATATATGACTGTATGAAATTTAGAAATTGGGTGTTAAATATATAAAAATGTGTACATACAAAATGAACACCGACTACAATCCGCGTAGTAGTCGCGATCGGTTGGTATAAAGTCGTGTGGTTGTAGGCGGCGGGCCGGGTGGCGACAACCTCGCCGCCTCTAACCCATTCGACGAGCCGCCGGGGCCCAGGAGACCCCCAGGTACTTAACCTTTCATAAAACCTGCTCCAAAACCATATTGGCTTGAGATTCGTTCATATGTATGGGGTTATGAAGTCTAGTAACATTTATTTGTATACACGGTGAAGTTAAAAGAATTAACGTTATTTGAATGAAGTATACTTGGATTCATCAGGACTAAAATTAAGAAGCGCCGCAATTAAAATAGAAAATGTAATATTCGGAATGTTACATCTTTTTAACGTATTTTTGTAGCAAATAAATTTAATTTCATTACATCCACATCTCGGTACTAATGTCCGAATATAAACATCGGTTTCGGCTTCGGCCACTTACGGCTAGACATTAAGATTTTCCACACAATGATCAGAAACTGGTCATGTTGAGCGGGAGCAACTGTAGTGTATGTACATTTAATCCTAATAAATTAATATTTAGGTTGCTATTAACACGAAAGAAGAAGTCCTAATGCATTCTGTATACTCTAGTACATTTTTAATTTAAATACTGCTAATATTTAATTTCACTTGTGTTTTTGCGTCGCTCTGTCGATTATCAAATATAAGAATTATAAAATAATTCAACCGGATTGTCAGTGGTTTTGTAACCTAACAGCGGAATCGTACACATTTTTATTATTCAGTCTGAATTATTAACCTCACGAATCTCTAGTCAAAAAATGAGGTTTATTTTGTTTCTGGTGATATTTATTAGATTGCATGAAATATATATAACCGGTTGTAAATTACATTTTGTCGCTTGTTTTGTCTGTGTTCATTATAGCTCGCACTGTTGTCATATTCATTAAATCACTGCATGACTTAATAATTAAATTTAACATCACATTTAAGCATATTATTTATTGTAGATTAGTGAATTATTGTATAATTACATACAATATTTATTATTGTATATTGTGTTACAGGTTACCAACAAGGTTACGGGTACGAATATGGTCCTCCTTACCAACCCAATAGGCCTGTATATCCACCTTATGGACCCGACGGTGACAGGTAAGAAAACTTATAAATGCTTACATTTTACGTAATTGTAGTAAGTTTAAGTTTATATTCATTAATGTGTGCAAGTAGTACTTCTAAAGACTCCTTTATGGCCACTGAATTTAAAGGAATTAATAATTATTAAATAAACCAATACATGTCGAGAACTTTCTTTGTTGGCATTATTACGTGAAATTTGTAGCCTATTTGTTACTGTTATGTATAATCTATATTACTGTAAAGTTTCATCAAAATCCGTTCAGTAGTTTTTGCGTTAAAGAGTAACAAACGTATCCATACAAATATTCGAGTTTATAATATTCATAAGATTACTATTTGATGTAAGTAACAGTTATGTTTTACGACACTTATGTCGGTGGAAACGTCGTCGATCGTCACAAGTTCGCGCAGGCTCTCATCTCATCACCGTAATGATGCGTGATCCGCAGGGGGTACCGGGGCGGCGGCGAGTACCAGTACGGCACGTACGGCGGCGGGTACCGCGCGGGGCCGGGCGCGGGCGCGGGCGCGGGCGGGGGCCCCGCGCCGGCCGGCACGCCGCCGCCCGCGCAGCCCTACCCGGACTACTACCGCGGCCCGCACCCGCACGCGCCGCACCCGCAGCACGCGCCGCACGCGCCCCACGCGCCCCACCCGCCGCACGCGCCGCACCCGCCGCACCCGCCCATCTCGCCGCACCAGCAGCACGCGCCCCACCAGCAGCACCAGCAGCACGCGCCCCACGCGCCCCACCAGCCGCCGCACGAGGTATGCACGCCATTCGCATCTCAACTCTCGCATTATACTAAGTCTACACGTTATCAGAACGACTCGCTCGGATACGGTATGATTGTGCTCACTTGTCTGTTATGAAGTAGGTATGTAACACTTGCCTGTCAGATGAGTTTTTACAGGAGCAACTATTGTTCTGCTTGTTTAAATATCATACCCACGATCCGAGTAGTAAGCTGGCACGTAATATAATACTTCAGTGAATATTAAAAGTAATACGGCCAGTGCAAAGAGTTCGTACTGACAGCGTAAATATTTTTTTGTACGCTAAGAGTATTGTTTAGATTTTTCTAGACAGAACATTTTAGTATTGGTATATTGTTAGGAATGTACTATTAATACCTAGAGAATAATAAATAAATTTATATTTTATCCAAGATTATATAATACTATGGAATGACTACAGTAGTAGCCTTAATAGTGCCACGTCCTGCATGAATAGCATGTATGGAGTATTTACTATTATTGTGAATGTAAAATTGCTTACAGTCAGATACACTGTACTTATATTTCAAAAGTCTAAATTCTTCTAGGAATTGTATTCAGTTATGTTTATTGTATTCTAGTGCTTTATAAACAATGGTTATAAAAGGTATTGAAGTGCCATGACTTGTAGTTAGATCCAGAGCTATATTGAAATTATATGAAAATGTTTATGCTAGTTACCTACTATGTGAATGGCTTTTGAATAAAATAATACATATACTGCATGATTGTAATCAGTTTATATACTATAAAATAAATTAGATACTCCTAGCATTTATGCCATGACATCGATATTTAAAATCTATCTGATTTTGATAATTATTTAGGCAAATGTCTATATATCCTTGAATTTTACAAGACATTCTACAAGACGACTAGGGGAATTTCGTATAAAATTAGAATACACCAGTAAAAGTTAAGAAAAATTTTCAAAGTTATATAACCAGCATGGTAATACAATCTGAAAGGGGACAGCCCCTTGCCTGACAGTGGGATTTTACCGAGTCAAGTAGTTTAATGATCAGTAGTGGAGACGCCTGTGGCAGTAGGCGGTAGAGTGCGTAGGAGTGTGTCGTGTGGTGTGACGTGTGACGGAGCCGTGTCTGTTTGGTGGTGTGTAGATGTCGGGCGGCGCGCAGGCGCAGTCGGTCGGTAACCTAATGAGCTCGCAGCTCGCGCGGCAGCTCATCGCGCCGCTGCCCTCCAACCCCAGACCCTACGTACGGACGCCCCGTTTGTACCACGCACTCAACACCGCTTCCCCATCGATTGGCGATACGGTCCATACTCACCCGCACGGACCTAGACACGTTTGCGGCCCCTGACTCGATTGCCGTACCGTACCACACCAACTTGTCGCGACATGTTACAATTTATGTTGTGTTACTGTTTATAAGAGTCTCTGATTAATGTAATACGCGTACACGGATTGAGATAGACCTCGCAGAATCCTCAAACGGTGTAAAATTTGCGTTTTATATTATTTTTGTTAATTACCTGTCTTTCGACCTGTTGGGAAATGAAAGAAAACTAGACATTTCTGAGAATGTTACTCGTAATGCTGTTTAGATAACGTTGGCAAGTATCTAAAAATAATATTAATTTCTTTCTAAAATAATATTATATATATATAAATATAAATATGTTCTTTTGTAATCACTTGGAACAAACATAAAGGGAATGATTGCGACGTCTATTTAAATCTATGTCTGTAATGTACGTTATATTTGTATTACAGTAGTATGATGAGCTAACGAGTAATAATAACATTTAAGCACACCTAGTGATAATATTTGAAAAAAAAAAAATGGTAGTGGTGCAAAAAAATATTTTTGTAGGTAATAAGTTTATTGATTTGGTGTTCTAATAGTTTTCTCATTTTTTTAACATCACAGTCGATATGATTTAGTTTTAAGTTTTTGTTAAATTGACTCTTATAAATAGGTATATAAGGTACACATACGACAATCGATTTAAGGGGTACAATATCATCCGTGGTTTTGGCTTCATTTAATTATATTTTCGATAATACCACTCGCTTAATCAAAATTTTGAGCTGTCACTGTTAATTTTTCTTCTGTTTTTCGTTTAACTAAATTATTGGCTTGCGGTGTGATTAATTGGCTTCACGGTGTCGCGTCGCCGGTCATGTGATACGGCGGTGACGTGAGTTATCAACTCGATTATCGTTCGTTGGCTTATTCAAAATTTAACAAATAATCAAAACATGGAAGTAAAGGTATAGAGTGTGTGGTGGTGGCTTTATTATGTAAACATTATTACGGTCACTCAATATCATGTGCATGCTTTCACAACGATCATTGTAAGCTTAGCTCGTAAGTTAAATGGTACCGTAGCTTTTTATATGGCGGTAATATTCGATTGAATGCACTTTATTAGATGAATACTACTAAGTTTTAATTGCATTTATTTAAAGTCCATTCGACCGACGTAATCATTAAGCTATTTTGGGTGCACGGTCAGTGTAACACTACTATTTATAATTGCTTTATTATGATATGGACTCGCTGGAATTCGATGTGTATTTCATAATAATATAGTTTTTGATTTAAAAATTTAATCTTCATTTAAGGTTGAACTACTAGTAGTTAGTATTTCAGTCTTAGATATAGATGGGAGCAAAATATATGCAGTCGTAAGATCACTTTCTTTAACCTGTTATGTTCTATACTACTATATCTATATACTATACTGGGGGAACCGAAAATAACCCTGATAATTAATATAGTAGTTATAAAATATTTCAATTACGACACTGCCCCTATTGGCACATAAATGATCGGTACTGCATATCTTTACATGGCATAGCATATTCTCTAGTTGCACGAAGCCAGCGAGTCCACAGTAATGCACCGAGGCGTGCGAGATGTAATAATGGTGAGGGTGTCCGCATCCGCAGTACGGTGGGGGCAAGCCGCTGGGCGCGGGCGTGGGCGTGGGCGCGGGAGCGGGCGCGGGCGCTCCGCGGCGGCACCCCGACTTCGCGAAGGCGGAGGGCGGGTTCGCGGGCGCGGGCGCGGGCCCGGGCCCGGGCGCGGGCAGCCCGGCGGGCGCGGGCGTGGGCGCGGGCGCGGCGGCGGGCGCGGGCGCGGGCGCGCGGTTCGGCGGCGCGTGGGGCGGCGCGTTCCCCCGCGCGCCGCAGCCGCCCTCCCCGCAGGCCGCGGGCCCCTGGCGCCCGCCGCCCGCCTCGCAGCCGCCGCCCGCCTGGCCGCCCTATCAGCCGCAGGTACGCACGTATTCCGAATTATAATTATTAAATGTCCTGTTATAAGTTTAGTAACTATATATGGCATAATAAAATTATTACTTTTTTATACATATATATCTTATAATTGTGATGACGAGATCGTTGGTGAGAGAAAACGCTCACAAAGTAGGGTTGGTACTTGTGTATTTTGATTCTTACTTGTTGGATACTCTAACGTATACTGGCTATGTAAGGACTATGTACTAAATATACAGGAAGTCTTGACCTAAGACCTAATGTATAATAATGTCAAATCAATCATCATTTTTTATGTAATATTATAGTATGACAAATAAATTTACCCGCTCACGGATATAATATTATAATGTGACGTCCGTGATACTAATGCATTCCCATTCCGATTGATGTATTAAAATGTTATTCCTCTAAGAGGAATAACATCTTATAATATCACTATCATATCATAGATGAAAACGAGCAGACAACTTTTTTACAAAGTCTACTTCGGTTAGGTTAGTAGCATTTGTCTAAATGTTTCGTGATGGTGGTTACAGACAGCGGGCGGGCCGGCGTGGGGCGGCGCCCCTCGACCGCCGACGCAGGAGCCCTACCCCTCTTCGGTCGCACCGTCTGCAGTGAGTACCCATTTACATTATCGTACATGATATTTATCCTGCTTTTAGATTATTAAAAAAATATGATATTGTTAGCACTCATTTATCGATATTAAACAATTTTATTTAACACATTGTACCTGCCTTGAATAATAATATATATTTTTTTTTCGTAACTATTATGGTACTCTCGACTTCGATATCATTCTGCAATCTACCTTTAAATTATATAAGGAATAATTTCAATAGCTCACATAATTTTTGACAGTATTATAATAGAAATATTTCTTTAATTTACAGGGTTCTGGTCCAGGACTAGGTCAGATAAAACGAGAGTTGACTTTTCCACCCGAATGTGTAGAGGCGACCATGCCTACAGGAGAAAAGCGGCGGAGATTAACGAAAGCAGATGTCGCGCCAGTCGACGCGTGGCGTATCATGATGGCGCTCAAGTCGGGTCTTCTCGCCGAAACCTGTTGGGCATTAGACATACTAAATATATTACTATTCGACGACAATTGTATAGGTTATTTTGGGCTACAGCACATGCCCGGTCTTCTTGACTTACTTCTAGAGCACTTCCATAAAAGTATCAGTGACGTATTCGATTCACCAATGACGGAAGAAGAGCCGTGGTATGCACCGCCCACGAGTCCAGAACCCGTCCCTAAGGTCCGCCGGAAAACGGAACCCATCCAGCAGACGGACAGAGTGAAAGTGCTCGCCGGCGAGAACTACACGATGGAGACCCGGCGCCGGCAGCCAGTTACCTACCGCTACGACGACGAGCTGTTCGCGCCCGACGAGGAGGACTCGGACGGTGACAACGACCATGACGACGTGCTCGAGCCGTGGCAGATCGCAGGCGACGCCACCGCCGCCACGCACGTCATGCCGTGCTTCCGCGGCGAGTTCGTGCACTTGCCCTTCGTGCGCGTCATGCCCGGCGAGCGGCGGCCCTCCCCGCCCGCCTCGCCGCCCCCGCCGCCCTCCTCCGCGCCGGCCGACTCGCCGCGCCTTAAGCCCGAACCGGACGAAGCGGACGCGACAGAACATCCCGGCAACGGCCCCGTAGAAGCGCAGGGCACACCCGCCGACGCCACCGCGGCTACGCCCGACGGCGACCGCGATAACCTCGAAGCGGAGCCCATGGAATTAGAACCGGAGCGGCGGCCTAACCTTCTAGTGCGCGACCCGGCGGGCGTCCTCAAGCGACGCCGCCTCGAGGACTACGAAGACGAGTGCTACACGCGCGATGAACCCAGTTTGAATTTAGTGAACGAGACGCGAGACTCGCTCGCGAAGCGCTGCATAGCGCTATCGAACATTCTCCGCGGATTGACGTTCGTGCCGGGCAACGAAGTGGAGTTCTCGCGGTCGGGCGCCTTCCTCGCCCTCGCCGGCAAGCTGCTGCTACTGCACCACGAGCATGCGCCGCGAGCGACGCGGGCGCGCGCGTACGAGCGGGCGGCGCGCGACGAGACGGACGCGGACGCGTGCTGCTCGAGCTTGCGCGGCGGCGCCGAGTGGTGGTGGGACGCGCTCGCGCAGCTGCGGGAGGACGCGCTCGTGTGCTGCGCGAACATCGCCGGCGGCGTGGAGCTGGCCGGCCAGCCGGAGGCGGTGGCGAGGCCGCTGCTGGACGGGCTGCTGCACTGGAGCGTGTGTCCGGCGGCGGTGGCGGGCGACGCGCCCCCCGCGGCCGCCGCCGGCTCGCCGCTGTCGCCGCGCCGGCTCGCGTTGGAGGCCCTGTGCAAGCTGTGCGTGACGGACGCGAACGTGGACTTGGTGCTGGCGACGCCGCCGCGCGGACGCATCGCGGCGCTGTGCGCGGGGCTGGCGCGCGACCTGTGCCGGCCCGAGCGGCCGGTGGTGCGCGAGTTCGCGGTGAACCTGCTGCACTACCTGGCGGGCGCGGGCGGCGCGGCGGCGCGCGAGGTGGCGCTGCACGCGCCGGCCGTGGCGCAGCTGGTGGCGTTCATCGAGCGCGCCGAGCACACGGCGCTGGGCGTGGCCAACCACCACGGCGTGGCGGCGCTGCGCGACAACCCGGACGCGATGGGCACCTCGCTGGACATGCTGCGCCGCGCCGCCGCTACGCTGCTGCGGCTCGCCGACCACCCGGAGAATCGGCCGTTGATCCGGCGGCACGAGCGGCGGCTGCTCTCGCTGGTCATGTCACAGATCCTGGACCAGAAGGTGGCGCACGAGCTGGCCGACGTGCTCTACCAGTGCAGCCAGCAGCGCGACGAGCCGCGCGACGACCAGTAGACTGACTGTGAGTGCGCGGCGTGCGATGAGACTGAGAGTATACCTGTCGGTACGTGTACATATAGTGTTACGGCGCGCCCCGGACGCGGCGCTATGTTCCCGTTTGACTGTTCGTGACTCCGAGGTTATTATAGCGGTGTCTGAAGTGTTAGGCTGTACGATTCGATTTTGTTATTTATGGTCCATAATGATTTATTTACAAGAATGTCAATGTGGTATAATCGATTTCTATTGTTCGATTGAAGAAAGATGTATTATAACTCGTAATTTTGATTTTTATAATAAAATGGGACTTGAATCTGTTTATTGGTTTTATGATGGAGATTTTATACCGAGTACCTTTAGCGCCTTTGTCTATAAGAGAATTCGTAGTGGAGAATGTGAGGAGCTTACGTGGGCTATAAGTTTTAATTAAGTTTAATGTGAATTATTACAATAATCTATAATATATTGAAATTGAATCTGAATTTTATTTATTTATTTTATGAATTGGCATTTTATAATTTTCTGTACCTTGATTTCGAATTCACATTGCCTACAAATAATTGACAGGAAAAATAACACACATGATTGCCACAAACCATTACCGGTTAAATGCTTGAATGTTTATAGTTACGCTGTTTATTAACTTTGTAACGTTTAGTTGACATAGTGACAATTGCAATAATATAATGGTTTGTAAGATAGGACCATAAGTAATGCATGCAATATAAAAATGGTAGTAATGTGGCAATAGAAACAAAATTATATTTATGATGCATGATTGCATAGTATTCGAGGTACTTCACTAGGCCTCTGCTTGTGTACCTTTTTTAATGGATGATAATGCAATGGTTCACCCACGAGGGCTAACGGTTCACGCTGGCAGAGCACTAGAGGTGGATGATAAGATGAGGTCAGGTCAGTTAGCTCATCGTATCAAATTCACCAGGAATTTATCCAGGAGGAACCGCGTACAGGTCTATCTGACTTGGTACTTCAGTGCATTGCTATCTCATTTCCTCTATGTGGGTGCCTTGTCTACCTAATTCAGTCGCGAAGCATTTATTTTTAGTAGCAGTGTGTCGGTTGAAGGTGAGAAAAGGCAGTGAATTTACAGGATGAGAAGCATAACATCTTACTCCTTCAGAATGACAAAGCATAAGTGATATCACATGGGCGTCACACGATGTACTGCTGTTCATTTATATAGTCGACGGTTACCACTTACCATTCGGTGGGCCGTCGGCTTATTAATAGTTCTTATTACGTATACATAAAAAAGATCATTATTTTGTCTTATATTCTTGATTCCTTGCTTTGTCATAAATCTACATGAATATCAGATAGTCGATATTACGTATACGTTATATATATGAAACTAATTGGCTACGTGCTTAAATTAACGATAAGTATACCAGCGAAATCACTATTTAAAACCTTACTAGCAGGCTCCTGCCAGATTTGGCTGGGTGGGGAGAGAAACACGAGCGGTAAAGGTGAGTGTAGACGTACGTTGGCAAAGGGGCCCATTAAGCCCACACCCGATACACAAGTCCCGGGAACCACTCGAAGTATACTCTGCTATGGACCCGGCAACAGCACGATGAATGCATGGAATACTAAGAAATTGGTCTTCAATATTAAATGACAATAAGCAAATGTTGGTGGGTTTCTATCAAATTAAAGCGTTATAATAAAGTAAGATTTCTTCACGTACGAAGAACCTATGCCAAAGGATAGTGACGTATGTGCAACAGTTGATTGAGTATACTATAATTTATGTAACACGCAGTATGTCATTGATTTTACTACCATTAGAAAAGCAATGCTTTTTTGCATATACTAATAAAAATAATCTCATGCTCTCTACACATCCTAAATGATCAGGCATGGATATAGAAGGATCATGTCCATTTATATATTAATTTTCTTGTGCACTGGCAATTGATAAATCTGACAACTATGATTATTCTTTTTTCAACTATTTATCATCATAGAATTGTCACCTTTTATGTATAGTAAAATTTTGGTTAACACATTTGTTTAAATTTATTTTTGCCTTATTTTAAAAATTTGTTTATATGGTAGCCATATTATAATTTAACTCAACAAAAGGTATATTCGATTCATGTTATTGATCTAATGCAGCGTGATCCTTTTAACGATATTCGATGGAATGTCAGTCGAGCGATAGTAAAAAATTATTCAAAGTATTTGACGCATCGAAACGTAAACGAACGAGAAAGAAGAATGGGGTGGATGATGAAAATTCGTTAGTGACGGATGATTCCATCACCGTAAGTATTGTGTACATAACTACCTACACATCGTAAATAATGTTAAGTCGTACACCTAGTTTTTTTACATGATTAATCTGAATACTGCAGTCACTTCATTATTATTTGAAGACTGCATACTTGAAATTTAGAATTAAAAACACATCCCATGTTCCTTGTGTTAATAATCTATTTACCATATCGCGCAAATATAGCGCAAGTATATTATTGTTAATCCGTACCTATTTTAATCATAGACTAATTGAACTTATTGTGCACAACAGCTGTATGACGTAGATGTATGTAGATGAAGAAAAATGCTGTTATAAAAGACATCAGTATTGGCGCCTGTGTAGAAAAATTTAACGACGGATGTTTTTTTTTCTCTTTCTAGCAAACATGAATGTTTGCTTAGTAGCTTTTATCAAAAAGTTCTGTTCGTTATCAATGGGCCTTTTAAATATAAGTTGCACCTTGTCTGTGACTTTGTCTGCGGTGACAGAGTATTGTCAGTGCACTCCTGAAGATGGGTACACCGTCGTAGTCACTATACGATGAGCGTGATTGCCGGGTGGTAAGGAAACATTGCGGGGGGTGGAGTGTTGTACATGATTTTGCTACACTCCTGGTACCAATTATTAGGAGGAGCTGTATTAGATAGTATTAGTCAGTGTAGGTAACATAAAACCTTATGGCATGTCTATCATATTTAATTTTAATCACATACTAATCTGATTTATATAATTCATTTGGCAATCAATAGAATTATTACTTTTGTACTCGATTTTTTCTGATGAATTGTAGTTTCTATAAGACCGTCGTGTATTTAATTACACTGTAGTTTACAATTTATAACAAGGTTATGGTGATTACGAAAATGCTGTTGTTTTATTTATTCTTACCAAGAAGTAGGTGTTATAATAATGAAATGCTGATGTAACCAATATTTGTATAATATAGATATTAACAAAATACTACTATGGAACGGTTTTTACCAGAGCAACAGAATTTTGGATATTTTTCTGTTTGCTTGTATGTGTGTACACGCATCAAGCACAATTAATTACTGCATGAAATTACAACATAAGGAGGCATACATTTTAGTACTTCTGAATGGCCACGTATCAGGAATATTAGATCCGTCTCGTTACATGATGTATCTAGCTGATCTTCGTGAAACCGTCGTTGTAGTCGTAACGTCCGTGTATAATGTGTATATAGACAACGGTTTCCACTTAGCATCAGTTACAGGTCTTAGCACCTGACTATAACCCAAAATCCCAAATTAAAAAAAAATAGCATCAGATGGTATTTTGTTTGCCGTTATAGTTTTATAAAATATAAATTTAATGCAATTTTCGCTAGAGGTAACATAAAATGTAGGTGTCATTTTACCTCAGAAAATATGGTATTCTGTGCCAAGAAAGGGCAGGTCGCTAATATTAAAATATTTATCTACAACAACATATAATTTAATAACTTGAAACAGGTATGTCAAGGTAATGTCTGCCGAATATTGTCGTCTGCAAAGGCCAGTTTACAAGATGTCCCGACAGCACATACAATAGATGTGTCAAAAGAATCACACACTGTTAAAAGGTAATTGTTATTAAAGTTTACCAATCTACTTGTATAATAGTTTTAGTTTATGCATAGATACTACCAAAATGTTCTTGTAGACTTATTATACATGAAATTAGCCTGCTGATATCCCGCTAACCAACCCAGCTGGCTGTAAGTTTGTTGTTTCAACTTTCCTCTATCGCATTGGTCTATTAATTTAATAGTGGTGTCGGTACTAGCAGTGTACTTTAGGTCCATTTCCAGCCTGTTCCGGATACTATCTTTAAAATTCTAGAGAATTTTTTAATAAAGGAGGATGCAACATTTCACATTTATATATTTAAAAAACTTTAGCTCTTACAACACCCTGAGCATGAAATGTAAGGAAATATATTTTGGTAACGGGCAACTAAGGCTAAAGGGGGCCCTTGGCAACATTGTAATCCCGGTCTATTTATCAATCATGACATTCGTTTAGTAGGTTTAAAGATTATTGAGCCTAGGAACGTGGCTAGGTTGCCTAGGCCTTAGTTCGCCCCTGCTAACGGATTAACCACACAAATTATCCAGTATGGGGTATTATAATAACGTGGTAGCTTAATGACTAATGAATACAGAGACAGAGAGAGCAGTCCGTCGGTATCCCGTTCGCCATGTGAGGGTCATCGAAAGTCACATTTGCCCAGAGATGGTCACCGACCCTCAAGATCTCCACGCCGTCATCGGCGACCTACGTACGTCCAATCAACAATACAATTGTAATATTATCTTATCTGTGGTACAATGGAACAAAATTAAAATTCATTATCTGTATGAGTTAGTGACGATGGGAAGAATAGTTATTGAAAGAATTCTGTTTTTTTTAGGTAATCTGTCTTCTATGTCTAATAACTTGTGTGACAGGGGTTCCGAATGAGTAATATGAACAGCTTTTAATTAATTATGTTATACGTTGTGTACCTACTGCCTGTATGTTTTATGAGCTGTTAGATATTTGCATCAAAAAGTTATAATGGAACTATAAAGATACGTGTTTGTCTGTTCGTCCGCAAAATATCTGAGTATAGATTATGGGCTGAGGTAACGATGTAGGTACGTCATCGATTATTTTATCTTTGCAGAAGAGACGGTATATCTCTAGCACTGAAAGCTGGACTGGTGTCTACCCCTCGATCAGTAACACCATTACAGGTATTTCAGTAGTCGTACTTACTTTTTCCATCTAATTACAATAATATTAAGAATTGCTTTCGTAGTTCTTATTACTAAGTCAAGTACGCATAATAATTTTTATTCAGGAAGCAGATGTCGGCTTAGAAAATATTCCTCAAGATCAAGATTCATTCATCTACGCTTTCCTTGAAGAAGCAATTAAGAGGGATAAAAGAAAGTAAGACAACTTCTGTTGCAGTAGATTTTAAAACATTGTATGTACGAGTATTTATTATGAGTTATATAATCTAGTATAACACCATACGTCTTTGATGGATGAATATGAAATGGTGTACCTGCCTATGCTAACGGTAGGTAGATATAACGAAACCCTGGCGGGGTACCAGTGAAGGTCAGTTAGTCAAAGGTGGTGAAGTCAACGATATTGACTACTATGGTTTCTAGAAGGGACCGTGTAAAAAATATATTGTATATTATAACCATGGTAGATATTCTAGAGTAGTATAATTCTTGATATTTTGTGATTAATACAAGATTAAGATCTACACTATTGGGTTCAGATAGCTTTTATATAGTTTGAAAGGATACTATGTCAATGATTTTTTTAAATATTTCTATTAATATAGAAGATTTTTTTTATGTCTGACCTATTTAAGCGAAATATAAATTTAATAATTTATATTTCGTTTCAAAGGTGTGGTAGTGAAATTGCAGGGTACGGAAGCATGATACTTCAACTCTCTGGAATGGTAACGCATACCCATACGTTGCTATTCCGACGGGTGCCACGGTTGTCAAATCATAACATGTTTTCATGGAAAAAGTGAAAAGTGAAATGTTCTTTAACACTTACCTATTTTAATATTAGACAGTAAATGACGTTTGAAGCTTTTTATATTGGTTGTCATGGCAGACAGCGACATTCGCGGCGACAATATGACGATTACCGCACCAACGGTGACAGAGAAGCGTCAAGTGCACGGCGGCACCGTCACCATCATCGTCGACGAGAGGATGTCCCACCGAGAGACCCCGAGAAGTATTATCTATGACTCAATATATCTACAACAATATCGACATCTGTTTAAAAAAAAATAAGCGCGATATATTCTATCATTCATAAAAATAATATAATTGTTAATAAAATCGTATGTAGGTGCAGGTTGATGCATATTATAATAAAGAATTCGAATTATTCAGGTCGTCCAAAATGACGTCGGCAGCTTCTACAGTCGATCAAGTTGCTTTATTTGAAACGTTTGCAAAAATATGTGCACAGTTGAACGAGAAAACAAAACACTGCTCTCCCTATGTAGTAAGTATTTAACCAGATACCAATAAGTTTAATTGACTTTTTTAAATTGAGACAAGTCATCATTTCAGCCACGCTCGCAAAGCCATAAGTCATTGCAATGTGAAGTTATGTCGAAACGGGACACTTGCCATGTCGAAAACCGGCCAAAAAAATTACATAGTCGAGACCCGTCCAGAGAAAATGTGTCAAAAATGAGAAGTCAAGAGAATATTCGAGAAACACTTCGTGGTAACGATAAAGTACCCACTAATCCTCTGCTGAATAGGAATGTGATGCAAGATAAATGTGCATGTTGTTCTCCTCACGATAAAGTTTCTCATTTCCCTAGTAAATTAGATTTGAACACATCAGCTGATCATAATGTGGTAGATGATCGATATCATGAATATCCATCTAATACGGCTCCTATTCGAAGTTGCGCACAGCAACCTTATAGATATCTTCCCAATGAGCATAGAGATTATAGGGATTACGAGCGGAATCCTCATGGATCGAGATATTATGACGATGATAAAAGAAAGTATTTTGAGCAGAAAACAAGCAGAAGTTTTGACATTCCAAGAGAAGTTTATAGGGACGATGATAAGTATTATCGAAGAACCACAAGGAGTGAAGCGAATAAAGAAAAACGTTATGATGATCAAAGGGATAAAAGAAATGATGAAAGGGACAAATATTTTGATCATAGATATTTAGATCGTGACCGTTTCAATGCGTCGAATAAAGAGAAGCGTTCAAGGCATCATACGGATAAGTTTGAAAGAAATTCGATCGCATCAAGAGACGAAGACTACAGGGATCGAGACAGATATTTTGAACGTGAAAGAGACTCTGGATTAAGCGTTGCTGATGGTGAGACTAGCACTGTCAGCGGTCGAAGTAATTATTTGCGGGTGGTCAAAGTGAGTATGTTATCTCATACAAAGATTAAGTGGGAGATGTTTAATTTTTATTATTCTAATTCTATAAAATTAGAATATAAGTGTAAAGTATAATATACATTACGAATGAAGGTTCATTGAAATCAAAATGTATGTTATTTATAGCAGGAGATATCGGAACAACGTGAGGCAATGGACAAAATGATGAAATTGTGGAAAGAATTAATGCGATGTTTTAAAGGAATATCATCACAAACTCAGAGTTCAGATAAAGCTGTTCAGGTACAGTTAAATAATTGACTGAAGTATAATTTGAAATGTTAGACACAATAATTTGCCAAATATTTAAGTATCCAATACTTACTACCATGTTTCTACATGGATTATATTTTGAATAATTTAGCTGCTTTTGAATACAAATATCTTACTTTTAACTCGACCGCCAGTGGTTATCAGTTTTATACACTAATAGTACCTAGATGGTATTTTCAATTCATAAAATGACATTATTTTTTATGTCTACATAGGACTCTGCAGCGAACGTTCAAGAATCCGCTGCGGCCCAACTGCGGTTATGGAGGGAATGTATGAGGCGCTACGAGACAGTGGCGCGGGACGTCGGAGATACTGACGCTCGACTTATGGTGTTGATTATTTCCACTTAACCAGTTTTAGATCTATCATCTAGGAAATGTTTACTACTGACTCGCCCGATTCATCTTATATCGTACTATATATTGTTCCATATCTAGAATACTATAGCTATGCGTAACAACCAAATAGCCGATTTATTTATCTATCTATAAAGAGAGAAAACTTTATCTTTATCTTTAGAATTTTGAATGAAGTCGTGAACTTTAACAATGTACTGGGTAATACTGACTGTATCAACTTTATTACCATCTCTTGCTAGCAATGCATCGAGTCAGCTCGATTTCCAAGCAGTTCACCTCGAAATTGTCGTGCGTAATTACTTATGAATTGGCTGCTACTGGCTAATTACCTTAATTGTATCCCCATCCTTAGTACCCCACCAGCCTTTACCGTTTGTACAAAAGGAATCACAAATTAGTCATCAAGAAAAAAATATGATTCCAGGAAGAGATAAACAAACAACGCTCAGAAATGGCTGAAATGGCTGGCATGTGGCAAGAGTGCTTGCAACGCTACCGCGAGATGAGCACAGACTTCAACAGTCTTAAACAACAGGTTAATCTTTAGACATTTATACATGCTATATGCTATGCTAAGTTGATTGTACAAATATTATTGTTTTTGCAGCGAACCCATGCTTACCAGCGTGATGGAATAGCTGACTTTTTTCTTTAACAATATTAAAAAGAGGTAAAAGTTGTGAATTTGTATCTACTGAACTGATGTTGGTTAACCCATTTTCAAGGAACTCTATAAGCTATATAATATGTACAAATAGGAGCAAAGCAGGAATGGAATATGTTGCATAACGGGAAAACGTGACGCAGAAGTTGCCACGGTCACATAGTATTTTACATGTAGAAAAAATATATTTATATGTAGAATAAGGTTGAAAACGTACAGTTGCCATAGATGTAATAAATAAAGAGTATACTAAGCGGAAAGTTACTACCTTCACACTAACTGATTTTTAATATGTAATTGTATATATACTTAATGCTCGCGCAGGAAGCGGTAGGTTCACTCACACACACAAAGCGTTATTAAGGGGTTACATGGGTTTCACGGTTTCAAAAAATCGAAAAATTTTTTTTTGTCTTATTAAATTCTATAACATCTCTAGAATATTGTCCTAAATTTTCAAGTTGATCTGACTAATAGTTTCGGAGATACAGCCTTGAAAAGGTGGACGCTCGAGGTCAGGTATAGGCTGAGGGTTGGTTACAACTACTATAGTATCCCTAAACATTATATTTTTTTAGTTGGTAACACCCGAAAGTCCGACACGTATGCCTGCAGCCCCGCTTGTATGCGCTGAGGGTGAAGGTATGGTGGCTCCTGGTCCCTATCATCTCCCACCAAGTTATCCGCCGGTAAATGTATTTTAATAACTCTTTGAGCATAAATTAGTATTATTATGCACGTGGTACGTAGATGATAAACTTAACACGTAAGAATATATGTAGTAGAAATCACAGATAACATAATATGTAGAAATCTTATTTTTATAAAAAAAATGTATATAATATAATTATAATTTTGTGTAAATTAATCGAAATACCCATGCAATGCAGCAATAATATACAACTACATTTTTTTTAAATTTTTACAATAAAGATCAAGCCTTAGTTTTACAATTTTTATAGGTTTGTCTAAATGTATTTGGCCTTAGTTCATTCATGATTTAAAGCCATTACTACATTCTCCAGAAAGTTAGAAATAATAGAAATAGGAATAAATAATATAGGTTAATAAATAAGAGGTTATATGTATATTTTTAGATGGCACCTATGCATGGGGGTTATGGCAATGGCGGTTCACCATTGAGACCTCGAGCGTCCGCGCCGCCGGCGTGGTGGTGGACTGGCGAGGGCGCTCGGCCGTTGCCACGACGTAGGTCTTCGCCGGATTCCAGAGGCTCCCGTGACAGAGATAGAGAAAGGAGACATCGACACAAAGATAGAGATCGAGGTGAGATCCTAAATAAATTAATTATAATTGAAATCAAATATCATGCACAAACACATACTCAACTCACACAATACACCGACATACATACACTTACTTCGTTAGAACAATACACAGCGCCATCTAGTCCCAAGCTAAGCAAAGCTTGTGTTATGGGTGCTAGTCAACTGACGCAAAAACTTAAATACGTTTTTTTATAAATATATTAAGTATATACCTAGAAAACACCCAGATCGAAACAAATAATCATACTACTCCAACAATGTACCGTGCGTGGAATCGAACCCGCGACCATTGATGTAACCGCTATACCACCAGGGCCGTCATAATTTTACACTGTAATCCTGAATGCGGTCAGTAAAAATACGTTTTATAAATTTTTTAATACTTTAAAGCTTTAAATACTCCATAGTTTCACTAAACGGGTATAGTGAAGAAATAAGGAATAAATGTTTTTTTTCAGTATTTAAATTTCGACAGTAATCACTAACTTATAACTTTGTAATATTGCATATTCAGCTAGGTACCTGCTGTAACAATTTCGTTATACTCGTAATAATATGAATTGAATTAAGTGAAACTTTGTCTATAAATTACAATATCTCACTGTTTTCATAATGATATAAATGAATACATCTTGTCAGTACCTTGTGTTTGACAATACAATCAGACAGACATTTACTGATTTTTATTCACAGACGATTCAAGATACAAGGAGAAATCTTCGAAACCAAATGCCGCACGTTCTGAACACAGACACAGGAAAAGATGATCAAATTGTTGTAGATGTAATCTAAAAATATAAAAAAAACTGCAAACAATGAAGTAAATAAATTTATTGTGGCTATATGGATCTGATTACTAAAAAATGTCTAGTGGAATAAAATAAATTAATGACAAAAAATAATTTAAGTACGTTTAATTCAGAGCTTTTTACAAATGTTTTTAAATTTTGTTTAGACATATTAAATATTTTTGAAAAGACTGATTTTATTTTGATGTTAATAGCATTTATGTTTTTATACCTCGTTTTTGTATAAACCGGAATCATCTATGAAATCACACATCAAATTTACGAAATAAAATATCAAGAATAAAACTGGGTATTTAATAAAATAACAATAATATATAAAATATTATACACTATTTAATTTACAGAGCATTTCCCAAAACCATACAAAAGGTACCTGTGTATTACATAACTAGAAACTATTACCCAAAAATTTAAAATTACATATTATACTAGCTGGCAAACCTTGTTTTGCCATATAAATTAATAACGCTTTAAAAAAATAGGGGTTGATGATGAAGGGTGAAAATTTAGGATTGTATGTATTTTTGTATATTGTATCATAAAAAAATAAACTCTAAAAATTTGTCTAATAAATAAAAAAAAAATTTAGGGTTGGACTACCCCAAACATTTAGGGGGATGAAAAATAGATGTTGGCCGATTCTCAGACCTACTCAATACGCTCACAAAATTTCATGATATCGGTCAAGCCGTTTCGGAGGAGTATGGGAACGAAAACTGACACGAGAATTTTATATATAAGATAATACCTACATCAATACTATATTGACTAGAGAAGTATTTTTTTTTATTTTCATTTTGCGCATTTGGTTACAGGGAAAACGCAATATTATTTGCCTTTCTTTTGACTTACAATTCAAATAAGTTTTTCAGTATCTACATTAGTAACTACTTGAGATAGTTTCCACAGCTTATCAGCTAGTTGTATATCTTTAGCACTTTTAGATGGCCTCTCTTCACGACAGTCTACAAAATACTTTCCAGTTACTTTTTCTAACTCTGGAGCTACTGCCAGATGTATAGAGGTCTGGGCACCTTCGTATGGTGTTTTCCATACAAGTTTTATTAAATATCTCATTATTGAAGGCTTATCCCTGAAAATATCTGTGCTGACTGCACCTGGATGTATAGCATTGACTGTAACATGGGTATCCTTTAACAACTGACTCAATTTTAATGTAAACAGAAGATTCGCCAGTTTTGTATTAGAATATATCCTTCTCCGTTGGAATATATTTTTTGATTGTTTATGAAACGTTTCCGGGTCGATTTTTCCAAATAAATGCATTATTGATGAGAGATTAATAATCCGACTCGGTGCTGACGACTTTAATAACGGTAAAAGCAAGACGGTGAGCAAAAATGGCGCGAAATGATTAACTTGTGCTTCTATGGGTAAGTTGTCTTCTGTTAAGGCATTGTCTAGTATACCTGTGCCTGCATTATTTATTAAAACATGGATGGATTGTTCTGTTTTCAAAATGTCTGCGGCGAATGTGCGAACAGATGTAAAAGAGCCCAAGTTCAGTTGTTTGAAAATCACATTATCGTTTCCTGTTGATTGTATAATATCGTCTCTGGCCTGTATACCTTTTACTTCGTCACGGCATGCCAGGATGATTTTAGCTCCACGTTTCGCTAAATCTTTAGCAGTTTCAAAGCCTATACCGGTATTGGCGCCAGTTATGATAACAACTTTGTTGGTCATTACAGTGTCACATATGCACGTTCCACAAGTAAGTTTAACATAGAATTTTAAAGAAATTGTCACAATAATAAGACACACTGTTGTAATTAACCACATATTTATACAATAATTAAATACACTTTGGAATTAACTATAAATAACAGTCCGGCTTCCTAATGAAAACACGATTAGTGTTGGAAGTGCCGTATTTATATAGTTCACAGCTCTGAAATATAATAGAATATATTTATTAATGAATGCATTAATGCCGAATATATTATTAATGAATTTATTTCCTTGTTTTATTAACAAAAAAATTATCAATAAGTACGTACTAATGATAAATAAATATAAAATAAGCAATTATCCTTAACTTAATAAATCAGTACACTCTTTGAACTGTTTGAAGTCTTTGACATCTAAAAGCCTTGAAAATGAATACTTTATTGAAATGTAAAGTAATCAGTAATGAAGTGAATTAATAGAATGTAAGACAGGTGAAAAGATCAGTATTTGAATGACTCTGATTGACTAGAAGAATGATCATTGAACTGTCAAATTACACTATCATAATCATGGTACTTCGTGCCCAACTACCTACTGTGTGTGTGTATAACATTGGTTAGTATTTCAATTTAATCTATTTAATAAAGTAGGTAGGCATACTTATAAACGCAGTGATTTTTTTCTCACTGCTTGTCTAAAGAAATAGTATGCAAGAGTTTAAACTGTATAAACATAACCAGTCTGGTTCAGAATCCTCAACTGTCAAGTACCAACTGGTCAAGTTAAAAACCTGTTTTACTAGTTTTTATTAGGTACGAGTGTTTGCATACAGTGCACGAGTTGGATGGCCATACATTTTACGTATTCTTAGCACTAACTAAACGAACATATAGAATATGTTAATAGATTTTGATACAAAAAAAATAATTTAGTAATATGAAAATAGCTGTTCAGCAGTTCATAAACATTTCTACAGAAGATCTATTCTTCCCTTGTTCCCATCTCAAGTACCTATTATACCGAGTCATTATTGTATTCTTTGTCATAATTACCAAGTAATTGCACTACCCTATGTCATCGTATAATTTCGAAGAAATCATGAAACCTGAATTATTGCTAGCTGAATTAATAAATACGATACAACGATACATGTTTTAGCTTCTATAAAGAATGAACCGTTTGATTAATAACGGTTGCATATAGACAAATAAGTATTAAGAGACATCACCAAATACAGCGATACTTCGTGATATCCACAATTAGGTGCCATTCTGTAGAAAAAGTTTGATGCCTTTGTGCCCAGTAATTTCATTAGTAAAACTTGTAATATAAATTGTCTTATTCTACTTATTTCCTTACTAACATAGGTGTAATGTAGGTGTAGGTATTATATACACAGGAGTAGAGTAAATTCTCTCTCTGGTATGCTCCAAATTGTTAAGAACATATTTTTTTATTGTTATGGCATTTTAGTACCGCTGCATGTGCCAAGGAAGCAGAAGGAGTTAGAAAAAAACAATTTTCATCAATTTTGTAATGCTTCATTTGTTTCTTACACAAAAAATAATACAAATATTTTCTTATATAAATATCTATAGAGCTATATAGATAAAATTGTCGTTTTAACTAGAAAATGACAAAATTATTATACAATATTGTTTTTGCATTACAACCTCAGATTAGGGACTATTCATAATCAAAGATTGTAACATACATACATGTTGTTTACTTGCGCTATGTTGCCAGCAACCATTTATAAATACAATGCTAAATAGCTAAAGGCATCGACTTAATAATCTAAGGACTTCTTATACACAGTTGAAAATATTGAAAAATAATTAAAAAAGCTAGAAACGTTAACTTAACTCCAATTTAAATACATATAACTACAACATTATATTGGACTTTTATATAGATCAATTCCATAGAAATATAAAAGCATATCTGTGGTTAAGGACAGACGGCAATGGCATTGGATTCTCTTTGCCTACCCTGTAAGTGATCTGCCGTGAAGATAGATCGTTACGTGTCTAATTAAGTAGTTCACATTCAGTCGATTGCTAAAATAGGTACTCAATTTATTTTTTTCTATTTGTGCTAATTGAACAAAATTTTATGGTTCTTTTTTAATCCATAAGTTTTACTTTTGTTGACTGCATATAAGTTTAGGCTAGTCTGGCCTTGTCCTTAAATTACATATGTCGATGGTTCAACAGTAAAAATATTTTTCAAAATTATATACCTAAATGAAAAATAATCCACAATATGTTATATATATAATACGGTATGTATTATAAATGATATAATAATATTATTTCATACACAAGACTTACAAAATCACACCCAGTTTCATGTGTATTATAATATATTATATATAATTGCTATAATAGTTTTTTAGGTGATAAAAACATTATAGTTTACGTATCTACTTACATCCGTTTTGTAACAATTAAGACCCTCATTTAAAGATATTTTATTTTGTTATTGATTTTATCCAAATTTTATTTAATTACTATACATATTTTATTTGCTATATATAGTCTGAGTTGAGTATTGCTTAAAAATAAAATTTGGATAAAAAAACAACAATCTCGTTTGGAGTGATACCTAGTGGAGTGAGTGTTTTATTTATAAGTAATTCTTTTATTATTATTATTAATAATTCTATTTTTTAATCCAAATACCTTCAAGAGAATTCTTTATTGATGCATATTTCGGTAATCAGTGCTACCTATATAGAGCAGATATACCCACAAAATATAATAAATATTTGGATTTTTGCTTATAAAACGTAGTTAATACAACTGTTCTATAAGTTTACATTTTGTTTTCATATATACGAGAATATATATATATTGATTTCAGTCTTTAGAGGGAAGTTTTCACACGAGTCATTCAATTGCCCAAAATTCATCGAGCTTATAGACTAACGCATAATACAATGAAAAATCTAGCTAGACGATTAAATATCTCATGAGACAAGACAATACATTATTAATTATTAATCATATAATAGAAGTCGATATACAACATATAACACATTTATTCTAATAAATTATTCAGAGTTTCAGTTACGACTATTAAAAAATAGTATAATGACTTATAAACATTATATTAAACATCAAAAGAATAAAACAATTATTTACATTCTGACAAATTTCCTAATGAAACCTAGCATTTTATAAACTGATTTTCGTGATCATTCTCTGACATATTATTCGTGTAGTACATACAGGTATTGAGAAGTCAGTAAATGAGATTATAAATATGAAACCGTATAGGAGAACGCCTTCCAGAATTCATAAGTGTAGTTTTTATAAGTATTTTACGATCCAAGCCTAACTACTTCTAAACCCGCTGACGCTAAATCAGAATTGGATAACGTTGCATATCATATATATTGCATTATATATAACGCTTACCTATTTAAAAATTTGACACCGTTCATTCTTTCCATTGCAAATATATTTATGTTTTTTACCAATGCTTTTATCGCCTATTAGCGATTAGAAAATTAGTAGAATATAAAAATTACTATAATAAAAATAGCTTCTAGTTATCTGCATATAGTAACGTTACATTGTAGTATGGTATTGACCTTGTGATTACAATGTTACTCCTGTCAAGTGTGTTTTTTAAAAGATTTAAGTAAAGTTAAATGATTGAAGCTAGATTATACAGTATTTCAGTACCTAGGTGTTTACTGCTGATCTATATAAATATATAAATTTAAAGTGGCGGTTTTTAGTTTTAAATTAATAGGTATACGGTACTTACATCAACAAAATCTCTAAAATGACTGAACCGATTTTTATGGGACTATCACTCGCAGATAGCTAATATTATGAGAAGTAACTTGAGCTACTTTTATTTTTAAAATATCATTTATTTTGTATGTCATAAAGGATTTTAATTCCACGCAGACGAATTCCCGGGTAATACCTAATTTGTAATAAATGTAAAAAATGCTCGAGTAAAATGTTTTATGTAATATACTTTTGAGTTTATAACCTACTTTTAAATTTATTTTTCTATCTATTTGTTATAAGAAGCTTAAAAGGAAATCAGTATATAGTAATATTGTGCGTCATACTATGTCGTAATATTGATAATATTCAATATTACAGTAGGCATATTTTATTATGTACCGCTTGACAATATGAAAATTTATATAATAGGTATCTAATTTAACTACATATATAACTGGAGTAGAAGGTTATATTTTTACAAAATTACTAATATACTAATAATGTATAATTACTACTTAACATCTATTTTAAAATAATATTGACTATAAAGGCATCTTCGACGGAACTTGTGAATAGGACAGGTTTCATTATTTCACTATTATTGTATTTACTATCAAATATATTTATTACTTTGTTAAAAAAGGCATCCATTATCTGCAGGCATTGTTATTTCAATTCAAATAGATCGTCATAAAAACATTGTTAGGGAAGAAAATACTAATTAAGGAATTAATGTGAAAGTTTTTGGAAATATAATTTAAGATTTAATTACTTTAACCACAGATAAGATAATATTACGTACTTTACGGATTTTAAAATTAAGAATATGGCAGATTGTAGACATTTACTGTAAAAATTATATAAAAACCATTCTATACGATATATAGTACAATTATGACATAGTTAAAGATAATGGATAAAGTTTTATTGTTTATAAGTACATGTAGATCCCTGTATTTGGCTAATTATGTTTGTTATTGCTTCTTATTCCTCTAAATAGTAAAGCACAAATGGATTCTTCATATAAATTTTATAATTATATAAAAAAATCATATTTTTGTGTGAATACATACAATATATTGTATAATCTTATGAATAACTGAAGTAACAATTACAATTTAAAATAATATAATTACAAAGTTTAAATTTCAAAAAGGTAACTTGTTTTGAATTTTTCATCGTAATCTCTTCTCTATTTACACGACTTACATAACACAAATGTGTACCTAAAACACAAATAAATATAAAGTTTAATTTAGATCGTAACACATTATTCACTTTGTTTTATCATTAGCGTCCGTTTCGCCCGGTGTGCATCAGTAAACCTGAAAATAATAAAAAAAATTGTTGTACATATAATATGTTATATTTTTTTATTTTTATTTTGTAAATAATTCCTTGGCAATGTTATGTAGGTAAACTTGAAAAAGAAAAACCAATTAAAATAAAATAAATCAAAATAATTATATAGATTAATTTCCGAGACTCTGTAACTGTGTAATATTAAACTGACAAGAATATATTTTAATATAAGAATGGCTCTTATTAATTCAGTACATTTATTTAAAATCATATTAAATAATTTATTTTGATAAATCTTGTTAAATCATTAGGCTTATACTTATATATATTCTGCCGCATGACTGACAATTTAAAAATGTATAATAATACCAAGTGAATTACGTAGAGTTGGGCACATTACGTGAATACACTTATGTTATGAATTGCAAAAAAAATAGCCTAATTGTCAATGGTTTTGACATGAAGTATAAAATAAATTGTAGTATTCATATTTAATAAATAACTTCATTATAACCGCTTTATTGTAAGTGTATTTTTTAATACATATTTTTGAATTTGAATTTGATTATCTTCAAAGAGAAAAGATAATCAGACTATATATTTTGTAGATATGGTCAACTATTGATATAAAACCTTCAGGTCTTCTAACAATATTTTACTTTTTATTTATATAGATTTGAAATTCGAAATTTGAATATTTATTAATTACATAAATGGCGTGTTAAGTATACATTTTTAATTTGTTATTTTGCTTAACATAAAACACTAGTGAACAAGAAAATGATATTATTTTTGGGTCCGTTAATCAAGATATCTTTGTCGATTTTGATTTATGAAATACCTAGTCTATTTTAATCGTTACATTAGTTTTCCTAAAAGTGTAGGAAATGTTTGATACGAGAATGGAATGTTTACCTTAACTCCATAAGCCATTTCGTATCCGCCTTTGCTCTGCATTTGGTTCTGTATGGAGTGCAGCAAAGACGTCGGCATATCTACATCTGTTGAACCTGTAATGTGAAAAATGATCCTTGTAATAATCAGATAGCCAAACAGTCAATTTATATATACGTATTGTGACTGATAATTGTGAACTTCTTTTTTAACACATTTTACTTTTATGAAAATATATATTTTACATAACCTCAGTAGTCTAGTGGTTTAGCAGACCACCTTCCATCCTATGGTCGCAGGTTCGATTCCTCACAGGGTACAAAAATTTGCAGTTATGAGTACGATTGTTTGTATCAGTTGGGATGTTATCTATGTTTAATATGTATGTATTTACAAAAAAAAATCTATATGTATGTGTATCCGTTGCCGTAACACAAGCTCTGTGTATCTTGGGACTAGATGACGCTGTGTGAATTGTTCTGAGATATTATTATCTATTATTTTGGAATCTTTTTTACGTAAATGAAATGATAGAGAGAATATTATTTTAAAGAAAGTATTGCTTATAAATGTGGATGGTTATAAGGACAGAAGAATGCCGAAAAGAGATGGATAGGCTGTGAATGATGATATGGCAAGAAAGGGAATAAATAATGAATGACTGCGAACAGGGATGAACAGAAAAACATATTATACCGACCTCAAATAAATGGGATAAGGAAGAAGCAAATGGAATGGCAAATTAGGTAGCGGCTTTTGATGTTTAAATGATGTTTTAGATGACCTGATGAGTGGTAACAGGCGCCTGTATCTATACAAAAATAGCAACTCGGCATTCACACATCATCATGTCACCACCGTTGCTATTTCAGAGGAGTTAGACATCATACCTCCATTTCTTATAATTTCACTGCCTTATCTAACCCTTCAATCGAAAGAATATACATATCTTCTGAAGCAAACTGAATAGGCGAGACTGAGGGATCCACGCAGATTGACTTCATACAGAGTCTACCTCGGTAAGTATTAGTCACCCTTGTGGCCATATCGGGTATTGTACCTAAATATGTTTAATGTTACTAAAACCGTAGTTTTATCAATGTGGGAGTCGGAAACAGCAAACCAATCCATTATCAATATCCATAGGTATACATTAAACTAATTGTTTAATAATAAAATTATGTATTATCAATTTGAATTTATGTGTTACATGATATCCTCGGGAATATTAGCAATTCCATACTCTCGCTATTGTAGGGATTTCTCTATACCTATAGAGAACTTCCTACATCCCTCCCCATTTTACATTTGTTCAATTGGATAGTCTTTTTTTTGGAATAAAATGCATTATAAGATTTCTTTAAACTCTAAATTCTAAAAACTAAATTTTAGTTGATTATTATTTATAACATTACTCATCTACTATAGATTCTAGCAGTTTAAGAAGGCCAATATATAGCTGTATGAAATCATAAAATATATTTAATTTAATTTCATATTAGAAATATATTAGGCACGCTTATAACAACACACAATTTGGTCGACTGTCGAGACGGTGGGGGAAGAGTGGAGGGTCATTGTAACCACAATACGACAACACTGCATTGTAATAATGTATTTGTTTACGAGTCACATGTATTATAAAATTATAATAGAAAAATTGCTTATTGTTAAATCTCTGTTTTTACCTTGTTGTGCTTATTGTAAATTCTACTATATGTTATGTAAATAAATAAAGGTATATTTATTTACTTAACTGACTACCAATGACAATCCAACAGATATACAATACTTCAATTCAGACGATTCTGCTCTTATATTTAATTTTAATGATTGCCTATTTCAACAGTTGTTCAGTTCATCCAACGATCTTGTTAATCGGTAATTAGTAACTATGAACACATGTGAAAAGATGCATTAAAATTTTGATCAATCGGAATTAAAGTTGATCGGTGGCCGAATAAATTGGCTGCTGCTACAGTCATAATAACTCTAATGGTCGTCATATTTAGTATATCTAGACCTGATATTTGGGACGGAGAAGGTAAAAAATAAGATGTCGTCTGCATAATCCAATTTGTTTGACATGTGATCCAGTTTAATGTGTAAGTGAGATTAAACTGGTAGGTAAATTACAGAGTACGAAGGCAAAAGTTTCTTTTTCAAATATGTATATGGAATGGTGCACCCGCCTACGCTGGGGCACCAGTGGAAGATGATAAGACGAACATGCGGTTGGGTCAGTTAGCCATATTCACTAGGAATTTATCATACTAGTTTCCAGGGGAAACCGGTCATCCTGACATGGTACATTGCTAGCAATGGGGTTTTACAATTCACATTACTAACAATTCCCTTTCCCCGATAAAACAATGTTATCTTCAGTAATGGCAATACATGCGGATACCACGACACGATGACGTGATTCTGCATCATGTTCTCCTATAGTATCTCCTATATAGGGAACGGTCACTATTTTCTGTCCGGTTGATCGTCTGCTAGTTCCAATTGCATTTACATAAAAAATGCAAAAACGGCTATTATAACACCTATATAAGGATGAATGCAATAAAAACTATTGCAGATACAAAGGTTGAGGACAACTGTGAACGTTGTGGCCTTTGTCCAGAGTGCGCAGTTCAAGTTCAAACCGTAACAGCACCTAGTTAGCGATCATTATCTACTGCAAATTTTTTGGTAATCTATATATTTTATTTTTATATTACTATTAAGTATATAGTCCTTTGAACACCAAAACCAGAAGAAAACAATCTGGTTTTGACATTCATAGCGCTATATTTTAAAAACTACTAATGTTCGATTTAAAATAAGAATAAAGTTGTAATAAAGTAGATTTCAAATTTAGAATATCTTTGGATACCTACTATTGTCCTTCTTTAATTGGTAGGATATGTGTGTAATATTTGAATACCAAAGCTAAAAGGAATTTCAAATTAAAATGAAAGGATTCATTTGAATCTTATAAAATCTTAAACTTGAAACGGAATATGTAATCAATATCCATTAAATATGAACTTGAGTTCAGCATACTTTAAACAGGATTCGGTGATACTTTATTGAATTAATTTTATATTACCAGTATTTATATTATATTATATTTTCAGGAATAAATGTATCTTGGGCAGTATTTACACAATGATCTGTTTTATTTATTTATCTGTTGCAATGATGCATATTAATCTTACTGAAATAAATTATTTTCTTTTTAGATTTCTGTACTTACTGCAATTAAAATAATTAGGAATTGGGTCGCAGTTTTGTTTATTACATCGGAAGCTAGGCCGTCATCATTTAAATGTAACGAACACATGTGTTAACCATATTCTTGGCGTGGTAACCCATTTACAGTAATAATTATTATACTCTTAAATGAAACTACATGGAGTGTGTCATATTTGACAATAATTATTACATTATACATACTAATTATTAGTATGAGCGCAGGTTTGAAGATTTTAATTTGTATCGACCATTACATAAAGATTTGCGCCATTTATATTCACTGGGACTATGAAATATAGTTTATGTTTCTAATAAAAAAAAATAGAATTCCTTACATAAATAATACTGACTATACAAAATCACTCTATATCTACTCGAAGTGATCGGTCCTATTGCCAATACAGAAATAAATATATTTGACGAAACTTTTGGAAATCCTTTTCTATGGATTAGAATAGAATAGGAAATTCTAGAAAAATTATTGTCGTTATTTATTTTTTATAATCTACCTCTCGTTCAAAACGCTGTCTCATCACAAGAAGAATGAGCAAGAAACATGCGTGTTTCTCTTTTAAATAATTATTATAACTTTACATTTTTAGGTTGAAATGTGTGAATACAAACTACAAACTAGCACTAATTCATTAGAGTCAAAATATTAATTAGATTTCAAACTTCAACGTTGTCAGATTCTTATGCAACGCAATTCTGTTTTCTATTTTAATCACTGATATATAAAACCAAAGACGAATATATTTTTTTAATGACTAATAACTGATAAATATAACTGACTTTCTGGGTGGGCCGAGAGCAGGTCAATCTAAGATGCTACCAATAGCATTAGGATAAATAGTCCCCATTACTATCCTCTTTCCGCTGCAATCCGAATCTCAAAACTGGTTTTGAAAATTAAGGGAAAGTTGAAGTTATCTCCATAGCATATTTGAAAAACGCAGACGTAGTTGACGGAAAAAGCTAGTTAAACTGCGTTATTTACTGCACCGCTTATGCAACGCTTTTTCCTATATTTAACATGCTTTACAGACGTATAATATGAGCATTATCCTGTTTGCGCGCCTATTAGTTGTGTGTCAGTGTTTGCACTTATATGTTTACGTACACATATACTGTTTAATGTAGGAATTTGACGCGTAGTACAGTTGCATTCACAATGCTCCCAAATGCCCAAATATTCATCATCATCATCATCTACTTCTTCCTTATCCCATTCTTTTGTGGTCGGCGTAATATGTTTTTCTCTTCCATTCATCCCCGATCGCAGTCATCTCGTTATTTACTCCCAAATGTCCAAATATTATTTGGTGAAAAATGGTAGATATTTTTGTTACTCACGCCGTTGTTGTTGAATATATTTGAAAGTTTGCATGTTTTTTTATACCGATTGATTGATGATAATATTGTTTTGGAGATATTATGTTAGTTGTATAATATTATCTTACATTTAAGTCGACTTTTATCGACCAATAACTTAGTAATTTAATTTACCTAACTAGTTTTCCCTCGAAACAACTTTAAAAGTAATGTTCAGGCATACAACATGAGAAATGGTATTTTTACCTATATACATGAACAGCACCACGGACATCACGCATATTCGTGATATCGTTCATGTTCATTCCAGACGACTACGATATCATGCCTCTTATACTGTAATTTCAATAATGTTACCTGTTAGTAGCAGTATTTAATATTTATACTCAAGTTTGTTGTATACATGAAATAAATGACATAAAAAGTGTGTAGAATAAAGTAAAGTAATTAATAATGAAGAGTAAAAAAATGCAGTAGTCTAAGTCTTTTTTATTTTCCCAAAATGTAATATGTCACAGATGCAATATTGCACGGCGCGCAG